TGATATAGAGAGCTGACAATTATTAACCAGTTCCTCTGATGGAAGATATGTATATTAAGGTCAGGAAAAAGCCTGATGAAGATTTGGAAGGAAGGATAATTCTCTAATCTGCTTGAAAGTTTGCTAGAAAGAATATAGTTGGGACGCGGCGTCTCAGCTGTGTTCTCATAATGAAATTCTAACTCTTGGGTTGGCAAATAATAAGGATGTCGCTGTAAATCATCTGATGAACCTGAAATGGGTGACAGCTTAGGTTATTTGGTCTAGGACCCATTATCTCACAGCAAGTCGATGGGAGAAGTTTTCTTTTGCTAATACGAACAGTTGCTTGCCTTGCATTATGGGAAATCCCGTGTTATCACTCTTTCTACGCGTAGTCTCTCCAGCTGCTCTGATATTTGCTGAGACTCCAGCCTCACTCAGGAAATTAATACTGCCTTGCTCTGTCTAATTAGTTATTGAATAACTGATTGTCTTCTGTTCTAATGGGGCACATCCTAGTGATTCTCTTAATATATTTCAAATTATACTCAGCTTTCCTATGAGATAACCTTCCACGAGCTGCCATCCCAGAAGGCTTTGCTTTTCATATTCTTTGCCCTCCAACTCTTAATTGTCTTTTAGTTGCATCCAAACTCCTGATGAAAAAATTTTAATGTTTTATCCCTATACTTGAACCTGACCATAATTAACTTTCTTAAATATCAAAGACTTGCATAATGAGATTTCTCTGCTTTCTCAAAAAGAAAGATACCAGCACGAATAGAGAGTCTTGGAGCTTTCATATAAGACTGATGATCTAAACCTCTGTTTCCAAGCTTATGTATGGATCTTGGGCTTAAGAATTCACTTTCCCCTTCCTCAGTTTTACCATCTATAAAATGAGTTACCGGTAACTACTGCATAGCGTGTCTGTGAGGATTCAACGAGGAGCCAAATGTAAGAAATTGACATAGATCTAGTTTACAGTAGATGCTCTCCAAGAAACGACAAATTTGATGATTACACTGCTATGGGCTAAACTGTTTCCCTCCGCCTAAGTTCATACTTTGAAGCCCCAGCCTTACCTCAGGAAGCAAGTTCCTTTGGAGCTGGCGGCCTTAAATTCAAACAAAGCCGTTAAGATGGTCTTGACTACAGTTTGATGGATGCCATGGGATGAGGGAATCTGAACAAACAGAAACCTAGGGTTCTGGCCTCCAGACAACAGACTAAGCAAGGCACGGAGGAGGTGGCTCGGTGTGAGTCAATTAGGGCTTCAGAAGAAACTAAGACTGCTGATACCTTGATCTTAGAACTCTAATTTCCAAAATGGTGAGAAAATACATTTTCTTGTTAAAGGTACCCAATCTGTCCTATTTTGTTATAAGAGTTCTGGAAGATGAATCACATATGTTCACATTTTCCAGAATATCTGACCAGCCTCTCCTATTCTAGTCTGTCCAGTCCTCTGGTTAGTGATAGGCAAGCGAGTAGGAATGTGGTCCTGTAAATCATTCCTCGATTGGAGGACGAGATTATCTCAAGTGATCATGGGCAGAGTTCTTTCTGAGCCTTAAATTTTCTTTTCTGTGCAATGTGGGGAGAATGGCTACCTGTCTCAGAGTATAATGAGGAGTAAACTGACGAGGCGTTTGTCAGCTCCATAGATTCCGGTGTTTGGAATGTAGGTGACACCCCCCCCCCCAGAACTTTACATATGCAGTATATCATTTACAGGCTTGCTTTGCCATCCCTGCTTGCTTTGATCAAAGCCCAGCCAACTCCACCAATCCTCCTTTCTAGTTAGTGTCACACAAGTACATATTTTGGGCTATTATTTGATTGCCTTTTGGTGTGGAAAAAAGTGGCTTTGATCAGCCTCATAGTTGGCTTGAGCCCAAGATTATGACCCCTTAAAGCGAGTTGCCACATGCTTCCAACATATTTTCTAAAACTCCTTCCAGTTTATTGGTTTCATCCAATGCTTTAATTACTTCATTGCAAGGATCAAGCTCAGACAGCTTTTCTTTCTGGTAGCTCTTCACACTTGCCATGGAGGTAGGAAGAAGGCAGGGTTTATTCAGAACTCCACTCAGGCCAATTCCACAGTGTGATGCTATTCCTCAAGGGTACTTGATCCAGCTTTGGCATTTTCCCGTTGTTTTAAAGATATATTGTTCGCTCTGATCTCATTTCTGCTGCCAAATGGTTTATAGAATAACACCCCGTTGCTTTTTAATTCAGGATGGTATGTGCTTCCACACATATTTCACCATGATTCATGGTGCAAGGTTCTTCTGTGACAGTGGCCGATGCTGCTTCCTAGCATCCAAGGTGCCTTCTGCTCCCTGCCAGTTCCTATCTTCACTTATAGTCTAGGCTGTCAGCACCATATTTTTTTTTTTTTTTGTGCACAGGAGATGTTTCTCTCTTTTACCCATTACAATTATGTTAAAATTTTCACATTCGTCTTTTATTCAAGTTAATATATGCTGGGTTCTTACCATGTATATGTTATTGTAATACTGTAGATTATTGCTAATATTTAGAATAATGCCAGAGAGTCCTAATTCATTTTAGTTTAGTAATTCATTTTATTTTTAATTGGGTTTGTGTGTGTTTATGAGGATAGAAGCAGAGTCTTACACATGTTAGACAACTGTCTCACCATAGAGTCATATTTCCAGTTGTTTCTAATATTTAATTTGGAACCATGTTTGCATATATATACATATATATATTTAAAATGATTTACTGATTTTTATTTTATATGTGTTGGTGTTTTACCTGCCTGCATGTCTGTGTGAGGGTGATGGATCCCCTGAAACTGGAGTTACAGACAGTTGTGAGCTGTCATGTAGGTGCTGGGAATTGAATTCAGGTCCTTTGGTAGAGCAGCCAGTGCTCCCAACTGCTGAGCCATCTCTTCAGCCTGGAAGCCTTTATATATTTTGACATGACTTTTCTCCTACATTTTATACCTATTTGTTGTTCCAGCTGGATGACTGTGTGCTTTATTACTTTAAAAAAAAACTCAACAGGTTGTTGAATTCCCTTTGTCATTTTCAGAAAAGTTTTCGTCAATCTGTTCCACATGCTTTTCCCCTTCGGCCTTTTGTTTTATAGACTACAGACCACCACCTAGTCTTTGATAGTGCAACGCTTGTGATGGGTGGTTCAGGTTTTGTTTGTAAACATTCCTTCTCTCTTTTCTGAACAGGGATATCTTCTTTCTTCGCTTTCACCACAAGACCGGACCTCCACACGCTATGGACCTGTCTTCATTCATTCGGTGCTTGAGGAGTGGCAGGTAGGTCAACTTTTGCTGAAGGAAGGAAATCTTTTAGCTTGTATTGACACCCATGTTTGGAGTGAACAATGGGCCAGAAGGAAGAGAAAAAGGTGAGAGAAGACAGTTAAGGACAAATATACATATCGTTAGGAATCTAATATAGAATTTAGAAGCATGTCAAGATCTAGTTTATAACATGGAATTTGTTTTACACTTATTTTTCACCCCTCCCGATCGCCCAGTTTTTGGTATCATTTTATAAATCTTTAATTGATAGTCATTAACTAGTCCATTGTTCAAAAACCCTTACCTGTCTTTTGCAAGTTAAATATTGTGCCAGGTAGTAAATTAACTAGAAGCACAAGATTTCCATTCCCACCCTTAAGAACGTTACTATCTAGTTGTGACAACGAAAGCATAAAGGGGGTCACAAAGAAGCAATGCAAATGTTGAGGAGTGAACACTCAAACTGAGAATGTGAGTGTTGAGCTGAGTATCTGAAAATCCGATATTATTAGCTATTCTGTCACCATGGTTCTCTTTTTTTTTTTTTTTTTTTTTTTTTTTTTTTTGCTATGTGCCTGAGTAACTCATGTAACATTCAAATGTCCTTTTTTCCTTTCTCTCATCTCTTCTCTGAAAGAGAAAGGGGGAGGGGCTGCGAGTGTCGTTCTTTAGCTAAGATATAAGACAAAAAATATTTGGGATGATTACTAATGGTCTGTTTTGTGTTGCTCAGACTGAAGTATACGGTTAATTATGGACCCTAAGTTGCCTTTTAAGAACATCCAGTCGGGGCTCAGAACTACGTCTTCCCACGATGGTGGGCTGTTTTGTTTTCCTGTATGGAATAGAGTATTTCCCAACCTTTATCCAAATGAGAAAAAAGCTTAAAATGCATCTTGACATGGTTGGAGAGAAATGTTTCCTTGAAATTTTAATTTGTCTCTGTGAAGAAGGGGACCGTTGGTCTATTTCATAGGCTGTGCAAGGCTGGGCAGACAATTCCTTAAGATCTGGAAGCCAGGATTCCATCGAAAACCAATTCATTTTGGTACAGGTGACCTGTTAAACCATTAGGAGGCTAACACTTTGCAGGGATTATTTACAAATCCACGTTGGACGCAGATAGCAGGACAGCGAAGGGAGCCCAATAGATGCACCTGGCGAGCAGGAAGACATTCAGGGAAAAAGGCTGGAAAAAAAAAAAAAAAAAAAAAAAGCCCAGATCACAATGTGGTCCAGAGCGAGACCCAAGGTAACCCGCCCTGCAGCCTCGGACTCCAGGAGCGCCAAGTTCTCCAGCTAGCGAGCATTCTATTGATTCACACTAGCGTCCTTCAACAGGTAGCGCCAATTACAGCCCCCAAAGCACGGCGCCAGGGCATACTGGCTAGTAAGGCTGTCAATCAAATACCTCACCCACTTTCCTAAATTATCCTCTCCACCTGTCACTGGCTTTTCGACCGACCTATCCCCAAACTTCTTTCCTGCCTGGAGTCCCGGGGACTCAGGTCAGTGGAGCTTGTCATTGGCGAGAGGATGTCCCGCCCTCTGGCGCCTAGAGGGCCCCGCCCCCGCCGCGAGAGGCTGGGAGAGGGAGGAGGGCGCGGGCCGCCCGGGGCGGGGCCTACCCCCCACGGCGGGGGCGGAGCCTGCGGCAGACCCGCCCGCTCGGTTAGGACCTCGGAGAGCGCCAGGCACCGGGACCAGAGGGACCCGAGAAGCGGCCGGAGCCGGGCTGGACCGTCGCCCGCCTGCGAGCCCGCAGCCTCCGCGCCCTCCGCCTCACGGGCTGGCCGGCGGCTAGCGGCGTCTGAGGAAGGTGCTAAGTCTGGGGTCCCGAGGGACACCCGTGCCGTCCCATCGCGGCTCGCTCTCACACCTGTGTGCGTGCTTGTGAGTGTGCGTGTGCGTGTGTGTGAGTGTGTGTGTGTGTGTGTGTGTGTGTGAGTGTGTGTCCCCGCGCGCGAACCCGCTCTGCTGTTTGTGAGGTGCGTGTGGCGTGCGCCGCTGTCTGTGAGGGCTCCGGGGCTCGCTGCCCGCCTTGGTAGCCCCGGCGCCCTGCTCGGCAGGAGGGAGCGAGGGAGCCAGCTCTGCGCGCCCTGCAGGCTGAGGCGGGACTCGGGCCCGCAGGCGTCACCGCCGCCTCACATCCACCCCCCCTCCCCGAGAGCCGCCGCTGTGCAGAAGAGGTGCCGGGCGGGGAGCAGACACGGGAGACCAGGGGCGGGAGAGGGACAGAGAGAGGAGACGGGGACAGGTGGAGGCAGGCGTCCCCCGCTCGCCCCTCCCGTCGGCTGTGGCCGTGAGTCACCCGCAGATGTTTTGTGGTCCGGGTCTTTGGGAATACGGGGTGAAAAAAAAGCCATTTTTGCCCTATCCCCCAATTCCTGCTGAGAAAGAGGGAGCGTTGAAGATGATGGGGGGGGGGAGCCCCGAACATGGTGGCAGAGTAAATATTGGCTCCCGCACAACGTCGCTTTTTCTGATAATAAAATATTCGGAGTTGACCCTGAAGAAGGAAAGCCCCTTTTCAGAGCGATCCAGAGGGTCTTGATCTGTTGGGCTCTGGTTTGATTGTATAATAATGATGATATAATGCTAATGACGATGATGACACTGCCTTTTATTTTTACCCCAGTGCTGATAAAGCATAGCTACAGCTGGGGAGAAAGCCCTTGAAAATCTGATGTGTGGGGAAGGAAGACTGTTGCTCTCTGAGTTGTGCTCTCTTTATTTTATAAAGACATGGCTTTTTAAAGTTAAAATTCGACAAAATGAAGCCTGAGCCCCAATCTCTCCCCTAGACTACGTCCAAGGCACATAAAATGGGGACTAGCTTCTCCTGTCTTGACTGATGAGAAGGTAAAGGCTTTTGCCCCGTGCGAATCCATGTTTGTCACCCCTTCTCTTTCCTTTTAATTTTTTTTTCAACAGTGTTTAAAATGAAGAAGTTTAATTTCCGAAAAGTTTTGGACGGTTTAACTGCCTCTTCCCCTGGCAGTGGCAGCGGCAGTGGCGGTAACAGCGGTGGGGCTGGAAGTGGCTCGGCGCATCCCGGAGGGACTGCAGGGGTTCTCAGAGAGGAGATCCAGGAGAGCCTGACTTCAGACTATTTCCAGATTTGCAAGGTAGGTTTTGAATTGGCTTTAGGGTCTGTTAAATTTTTATTTTACTGTTGCGAAGGAACAAGGAAACACATGTAACACACACACACAGACACACTCTCACACACTCAGGGCTGGAAATTGTCGGGGAGCCAGCCTCAGAGCCCAGTACTAGGTCAATTAAAATCATTAAGACATCAACTTGGGCATTAATTTATTAAAAACAATGGTAGTTTAAAGAGAAGGAAAACACAGACAAAGTAGTATCTGCAAGACGTTAAGGTCCAGTCAGGGGAGAAAAAGAGATTTGTGTACGAGTAGTAAACTGAAGGAGAGACATGGGGACGCGATAGTCGATTGGTTTCCCGTGTTGTCATCCGGAGAATCTGACTGCTAATTCTCTCTCTCTGTTCAGTAAAAGGAATAAGGTTCTTACCGAGGTGCTAGAATTAGGTAGGTAATAGATTAATGAGCCCAATAATAACTTTTTAAAAATTCTAGATATGAAAAAAAATAGTTTAGACTCTTCATGAATGTGCAGATCCTGTGGATTTAATGCTTTTGAGAAGTTGCAATACTCATAAAAACTCCAAAGTAATCACTGTTCTGGTTTCTCGAGAAGACATTTTAGGCAGTTATATTTTGATTTTGAGCTTCTAATAAACAAGCAGAACTTTGGACAGGGAAAGAAAATGAGATTTTAATAAAACAGATGTAGCACTACTACATAAAGATATTCTAGTATCACTTTGTAAAGTGATATATATATATGTATGTATATATCTTTTATTGCTCTTTTTGGGGGTTGCCTTTGAGTATAATTTTGATACGATTTATACAAGGAAAAAACTTTATACAAATGAGTCTAGTTTTATAACTGTGTTTGAATACATCATAAGAAAAAACTAAACTTTAGAAATTGCAGGAATTAAGTACCAAACAATTTTACACTTCAAAAAAGGAAAATTTTGCAAATTCTTAATTTTGTAGTAAACAAATGATATATAATAAGGTTTTAGTCATTATCTCAGCTCTTCCTAGAAGGATTATTATGAAATGTTAAACCTATAGTCATTAGTTTACTTAAAGCTCAAGCTTATTTAGAAGTAAACATATTTAATCAATTGTGTGAAATTTGAATGCAATAATGATATCTTCTCTCAGATGATATAATAGATATTATATCAGCGTAAGGAAGAGCTTAATATAGTGGTCATGAAACAAGGGTGTATAAGAGTCCTGGAAGCCAAATTTGAATTGCTGTGCAAGGGAATTATATCTTAATTCTCTATTTCGTTTCTATTTCCTTTCCCACATTCTGAGAAAACTTCCTTTAATCACCTCAATTAATGAATCTGATGGTGATACAGAAGAATTTTATTAGAGATAAAATTAGAACAGAACAGGTAGACTTCTAAACCGGATGTTGGCAGCCGAGGCTGTAAAGCCAGGAGAGAAAATTTTAAATAAGAACAATTCTGATGTGTAAACACAGGAAAGAAAGTTCAGCACGTGGTCTCCTACAAGTTCATTAAGAAACGAATGGCCATGGCTAGTGGCAGGAGTTAAGTGTGTGCTATTTCAAATGCAGATGGCATGGTAGGAAGAGCACTGGCCTATGAGCCAGCTGAATCAGACTTAAAACAAACCTGCATCTGACAGCCATACTATCATGGGGAAGAGATTTTTCTCCCTGGAACCTTGATTTCTGCAACTGTAATATGTGATTTATGCTTTCTTTATCTGAAAGAAAGTTCATTAGAATCTGAGGACAAAATGTGCCAGTACACAAGTTGGAAGGGGTGATAAAATATTTATATTGTTTTTTTTTGTTTGTTTTTGTTTTTCGAGACAGGGTTTCTCTGTGTTGCTTGGGAGGCAGTCCCTGGAACTAGCTCTTGTAGACCAGACTGGCCTCGAACTCACAGAGATCCGCCTGCCTCTGCCTCCCGAGTGCTGGGATTAAAGGTGTGTGCCACCATCACCCGGCCATATTTATATTGTTAAAGTTAAAAAAAAATCACCTTGTTTGTAGCAGAACAAATACAGCCATTATATTATATTTAATATAATATAAATAATATATTAAATAAGAATATATTATTTATGGCAATAAGTTTCGAATAATGAGGCTAGGCAGCTGTATTAGATATGCACTAATAGTACTGAAGTCACCCCAAATAAGGAAAACATAATAGCTTCTTTGACAAGGACTATAGTTAATTTTGAAAAGTGATTATGTAACTATTTTTATAGGTAACAGTCTATAATGAATATATAAAATGGATTAAGGAAATCCAAAATTAGAGCCATTATTGAAATGAGGACTTCATTTAGATTTACTGATTAAATGTACAAAGAACATTCTATTCTGAATAGTAAGAAGTCAGCACCTTCTGTGTACTTTTACCTTTCCAACATGGCTAAGATTAAAGTGGAAATCTAGGTCCTGTTTTATTGACCCGAGTCCCCTCACCCCACCATCTGATGGAGAATCAAATCCTGTTTCCTTTGTAGTTCTGCCTTTTATGCCGTTTCCCCTCCCCAGTACTTGTTCATTTCGTCTTATTTTCTTGATTTGTATCTTGAAAATACATTCTGATTTCCTCACTTCTTATTTTACCTTATTATACTTCATTTTGTTGTAATAATGTTATTACCCAGATGCAATATGATTTGCCTGGGACAAATTCTATGTTAGTTTCCATAGAGCGATAGTTCTTCAGAAACAAGTCTTGTTCTACTCCAGTAAAATCGATTAGAACAAATAAATGTGGTGCTTTATTGGCTTAAATTGATCTGAAGAATTATAACAAGTTATACAGCCAATCAATATTTCTTTGTAGTTTGTGTTTTTTGTGTAATACTGTCCACAAGCAGGTATAGGCATTTGTTACCCTGTAAATGTGAAGCTAAACTCTTCATAATAACTGAAAATGCTCACGATCAGAGAGACAGGCTGATGCATCAGTTTATTATAACACAATTCAATTTCAATATGTGCACTCGAATGCCCTCTTGCTCAGCTACTTGCAACATACACAAACCACCTTTCCTGAATATGAATTCTGTGCAATTCAACTTGAAAACACTGCTTTCTACAACAAAATTTAGCTTTGATTTTCTTATAATTCTCTTCGGAAAGGTGTCCTGTTACCTTCCTGCTCATATTTATTTCCTTGGTTTCTTAGGTATATTGCATTGCTCCAAAGCATCATATTGTCATATATCTAATGCTTCTTCCCATTTCTTGACTTCATTTAGAACATCTCTTCTTCAGCATTCACAATTGGAGAACTCTCAGTTAGCCTTTACCATATTTTTTAGTTCTGACCACTGCCCCATTCACTTTATTTTTTAAAATGTTGTTGCCTCTATACTATGAACATTCTGAAAAGCAAGTGTGTTTTTTTGCTTCTATATCTCACTTAGTTATTACAGACTAGTGATTCTCAATGAGTTCTAGCCTCACTCCAGTGTTAGGGAACCAAAATATGCAGGGATAAGGCCCACAACTTGTCATTTTAATAAAGGCCCACAAAAGATTTTCAGGCACAGTAAATATTGAGAACTAGGCGTTGATGTGCTTTTTAACAGAACAGAACATCATAAACATCATTGGTTAAGGCAAAAAACTACCAACAATTATGTATTGAAACAATTCTTTGTATTTTATGTGTGTGGGTGTTTTGCGAGCATTTATGTCTACGCACTGCTTGTGTACCCCAGGTCTATGGAGACCAGAAGAAGGCACTGGATTCCCAGGAAGCAGATGGTTGAGAGTCACCATTTTGTTGCTGGGAATCCGACTGGATGCTTTGTAAGAGCAATCAGTGCTCTTAACCGCTGGTCATCTTTCCAGCCCAAAGATTTATTTTAAGTTATGTTATGTGACTATCTCCATGTGGGCTTGCGTGTGTGTGTGTGTGTGTGTAACCTTGATTTCTGCAACTGTAATATGTGATTTATGCTTTCTTTATCTGAAAGAAAGTTTATTAGAATCTGAGGAGAAAATGTGGGGAAGCCAGTACACAAGTTGTGAGGGGTGATAAAATATTTATATTGCTAAAGTAAAAAAAAAACACCTTATTTATATCATTAAAGTAAAAAAAAGTGTGTGTGTCTGTATGTGTGTTTATCTCCATGTGTGTGTGTGTGTGTGTGTGTGTGTGTGTTTGCCTACAGAGGCATTGGATCTATTACATGTGGAGTTATAGTAGGTTGTGAACCACCTGACATAGGTTCTGGCAACCAAACTCAGGTCCTCTAGAAGTACCAAATAAACTGTGCTCTATTTATTTTTTACTGAAAACACACATAATAGTAAGCATTTTAATTTGTTTATTTGAAAACATAAACATGTGCCACTTTACAAATCACTAGAATAACAAATATAGTTTTGGTTACTGAGAATTGGTTCTCTGAGTAGAATTTCATAAATTCTGTATGTATTTGTCTTCCACAGTCCATTACAAATCAATCTGTACAATTTTTAACTTTTATTTATTCAAATGATATACTATGCTTATAAAGCAAACCTAGTATCAAGTCATATATTTTGTATATTACACATTTTTTATTCTTATGATTAATGGATCCACATCCCAATTTGATGTTTTTATTAGAGAGTAGTTTACTAGATTTTAGCATTTAGAGAGCCATTAGTTTCCATGTATATACTTTACAGAGAAATGAGTTTTTGCTAATATTACTAGCAGGTTGATTAAGTTCAAATTAGTTTGAGAAGTATTTTATTGTACTTTCATAATAGCCATGTAGGGAAGCCACAGGAAGTACTATCTAAATTCTATGGATAAGATAGTAAAGGTCAGAGAATTTAAAACCTGAGTTTTCCCAAAATAGCTAATAATTTCAGTACCATTTTTTAGTCCTTAAATCCAGGTTCTTTTGGATTTTTTATTTGATGAGAAGCCAATATGATAAATTCTTAAGGAATCTGGAGACTTTGAGAAGGCAGACTGTTTCCTTAACTCTTCATTCAAAACATACGTTAAATATAATCA